CTTGGCGGTCGCCTACGCGACTCACTGGGCGTACCTCGTGTTGCGCTTGCGGTGACTGCTGCTGCGGTGACTGCTGCTGCGGTGACTGCTGCTGCGGTGACTGCTGCTGCGGTCGCTGTTGCGAGGGGCCACCGGCAGAACTGTCAGAACTGTAATCATTGTCTTCCTCCAAGTTCACAGAGTCTCTTTGCCGCACTTCAGGCAGCAGTAGTCCCGGTAAAAGTCCCCCAAATTCCATAGAAACGTCCCCCGCTGGTCTTTCCCCGGCAATTTCGCCCGGAGAAGGCGTTGTGCCCGGCTGTGTGCCACTTAAATCGGACATTCGCCTCGCTGTTGTATCTCCCTTTGGTTTTCGTTGCCTTTCTACTACCGTGTCGCGGAATCCCAGTTGAAAACTTCTTCAAAGAGAACGGGTGGGGTGAAGGCATTGTGGCGCTCATATTTTCCTCCTGCCGCTTGGGTGCCAGCATGCGGAGCGTGGAACAGAAGTGCTTTCCCCCCCCCCACCCACCCCACCCACCCCGTCTTTCTCTCTTTTTTTTTTATTGCGTGTGTTTGCACGCTGCACGCGGACTCACCGCGAGGTTACCCACGAAAACACTAAAAGAGGACGGCCGCAGGGCAGAACAAAAATAAAGCGAAGCACCTTGTGCCGTGGTCGGGCCCTGTCTCTCTACCCCCAGAACGGGCCAAGCAGAAACAAACAAAAACAATAGTAAATAAAGACACCGCAGTTTGGTCCAGCGTGCGGCCAAGATCCCCCGCCTGAGAGAAGACTAACCCACCGGCACTCACACTCACCCACGCAGCAAGCAATCAGTCAACACAGCAAGAACTTCATGAGGGAGTCCAAGAGGAGGTGCGCCAGTATTTTCCTTCGCACCGCCTGGTCACGCATCCCGCGCCCCGACCGCTAGAAGGATTAACTGCAAAACAACGGAAGAACGAATACGAGGTCCCTCTCAGCGCAGCCAATCCATTGGACCACCCCCCGCGCACCCACCCTTTAGCTCTTCCCATCTACCTCTTAGGGCCTATCGGCCCAATGATTCCTATTATTAGTGATCCCGGCATCGGGCGCTACATCCACCTCGCATACCGCTTCCAGTTCTCTGTGGCCGGGAGCCGCGTCCGAGGTCTGCACCGGAACACCACAACCTTCGCGAGGGTCGCCGCAGGGGTAGTTTATACGAGGGCACCAGCTCCAGCGAACATTGGACAAATCGTACAGTACAACGCCCAGAACAATAATCACGTACGATGCAAAGAAGACTGGTGTGGGGTAAATATTGAAGATGGTCACGTTCCATATGATACTGTACACACTCACCGACAACAAGGACACATTGGCAAACGCCGCACTTGCAAGCAAAAATAAAAGCGGTAGCCCAGTGTACACGAAGAGCATGGAGAGACCAAACATCATTTGATACAACCAGTCCTCATTTGTCCACACTTTTCGGGCTGGCGCGAACGAGCTCCACTCCAGAGCAAAAAACTGAATTGTGGCAAAGACAAGAGCACAACTGGACATACAGCCAAGATTCTCCACAAGAGGTATGTACATCGGAACTGCCGGCAGAGATTCCTCCTCCCCCTCGGCAAGCTGCCCCTGGTCCTCTTCTCGCCTTGACTCCACAAGACGCATGGTATTTGGCGCCGTCGGGGATCCGCTGCGCTCCTCTTTCTGCCGCAACTCGCAAGGGGACGACACTCCGGGGGAAGCGGGGGCGCGGAACACCTCTGCCACTTGATTGACGCCAGCGTCCTCTGCATGCTCAATCCGTGCGTGTGATGGCCGGGGCTTAATGAACCACTCCGTGAGAACGTTACTTGTCGCGTAGAGGGCGGCGGCAAGCAGGCAAAGCAAGTCGCCCTTCGCAACATTAGGCCCCACTGTGTCTCGGGACACCCCATCGGCGTCCAAGACAATGAGGAGTGCCAACCCGCCTGTGGCAACGACACAGCCAAGAATGTGTGAGAGCGCGAAGCGCATTTTCAAGACGAAAAAGCTCAATACGAGCACGCACGGGATGTTGAAGCAGCTCAAGAGTTGCACCGAAATCATGTCCGTATACTGGTAGGCCTTAACAATGACGAAGTTCGCCTCCAAATCGATGATGGCAAGCAGAGCATACCTCCACGGCCTGTAAAAAAACGTGAAGTTTGAAAACTTCCGCTGCCGGTGACGCAACTGCAGCAGAAGAAGTAGTGGCGCATAAACGACAAAAATAAAGGCGTACGCCGTCAACGACTGCAGCAGGGGATAGCTGGCATTATGAGACACCAGCTTCGTCGTGGTCACCCCAGTGACGGAGTTCAAGAAGGCCACAGCCTGGCCAAATAAAACGTGGAGCGCCAACCGCCGGAGCTCCTTTCCCTTCATGTGCCGAGTTCCTGCGCAGAAAGACTACAGCAGACCCAAGAGCCAAATAGAGAGAAGGGGGCGGGGGTGGGAGAGAGAGAAAGAGAGGGAGCAATAAACCAAGATCGGAAAAAAAAAACACCAGGCACTTTGCGTCCGGCGTCACAAACCAGATCCTGGGGAAGAGTAAGATGATGGGGCGAAAGAAGAACTAGAAACGAGAGAACGACGCTAGAAATACTTCACAAATCAATGAATCAGTTATTTAAAGTACTCATTTGCAGCGGACACGCAAGAAACACGCCGGCGTTATACGGCCCAATCAGGCTTTAATTTGTACTCCTATACTCCCGTATCGCTTTTAACATTTCACGTTGCGCATAATTGGAGAAAAATGCGGCAAGCATGCGTTGAGCCCACATTGGAACCCCGCTAGGCATCTGCACGTCGTTGGCGGACGTCATGATCATAAGCGTCCCATCCAACCGCTTTGTCTCCTCGTGAAGGCGCACACTGTTCATGAATGTGTCGTATATGGCCCGTGTCGTCTTCCTATCCACCATGCTCCCACCGAAAGAGAAGCGCAACGGATCGGCCCACAGCTGCACTGCCGCATCCGCGATAGGAAGAATCAAAATATGTTGATAGTTTACACTGACGCGAGTAGCCTCCTGCTCGCTTTCGCACGAATGTAGCCACGAAGCAAACGGCTCAGACTGCCCAGCCGCCTTCTCGACAGCCTCACCACTGCCACTATAGAGTACGTCGTACAGCTTCAGTGGGCTCGCAGCACAGTCCGGCCTTGTGTAGCAGACAGAGCGGCGCTCATAGGCAAAAAGGCGGTCGGCGATGCCAAATCGTTCAAGAAGCGCGTGGCCAACACGATGCGCAAACCACCCATGTTCAAGAACAACTTCCGCAATATCAGGTACCAAGAGGCAAGTGTCGTCACTGCAAATTGGCGTCTTCTTCGCAACCATTTCGATTGGCCGCTTCACCGCCGTCAAAGATTCCGGCGCGCTCGACCGTGCGGGTGGATCCCACTTGCAAAACATGTGATAATTGCGATCCCACTTTCGCCGCAGTTGGAGATCCGTCATGAACTTGAAGACTTCCTCCGGAAGGGCGTCAGGAAAGAAGCCAACAACACGCATAAAAGGTGTTGGGCAGCCGCCCGTTGCGTCCGGTAAATAGGAGGAGCCCAGTCGCAGCACCTGCACCTTGGGTCCGTCCGTCGGACGCGCCACCGTGCCCGGCTTCGGAAAGTTGCTAGATTCCACCTTCCACTCCCCCACGTGTGCGTCCAAAAAAGACATGTGTTCCCAAGGCGGGCCCACTGCGGGGCTGTCCAGCACAAGCGCCGGGGACTCCTGCGTCACGGCCGCCGGGGCGCGGCGGCGCAGCCAGGAGAGGGTGGTTGCAGCGGCCACTGTGGCACACGCCGCCGCAGGTCTCCCGAGGGCGGCCCAAGCCATCGATGCAGGCCCAGGCCCACACACGCACGAAGAAAAAAAGAAACGAAAAAACTGAAGCAAAAAAAAAAGAGAGTTTAGGTTCAACTAATAATAGCAATAATGGAAATATAAAAAACTTCTGCAGTCAGTGGGGCTTCTCAAGAGGACAAACTTCAGGTCAAAAACTCACAACTACAACCGCAGACTACCCACCACAGCCCAAGCCGCCCACGCACAAATGCAGCCGTCCCCAAAACATATATATAAAATAAAATAAAATAAAATAGGGAAAAAATGCATTAATAATAAAAGTAATAATAAATTACGTGCCACTAGACCGCCGCAGTATACACTCGAGCTCTTTTTCGGCCAAAAAACTGCTTGGGTATAATTGGTCAGCGTTCACCACGCACATACAACTAGGTGGGGTGTGAACCAACAGTGTCGATTCGGGAGCAACCGTCATGCGCGAGAGGAGCACCGCGGAAATCCAGAGCCCAAGTAAAGGAAACTCGTTCCCTTGTCGTAATGTGTGGCAGTTTGAAGGCGAAGATTTCGCCGGCAAAACAAAGAGATGTCTTATCGACTCAGGAGCGCCGTACCACCGCGGATTCCCATCAGGGCTTGCTGCAGCTGACAGAACCAGAATCTGTTGCTTCGCCAAAGCAGCTGTGGAGGGGCGATTTGAAAAATTTAATGTCTGTTTTACCGGATATTGTCTAGTGATGGCGTCTGCAAAACGTGAAGACTTCGTTAGAGGGAGAAAGCTTTCGCCCATCAGTGGGGACCAAATGCTTAACGGGCTCTGCATGTACCTCAGCGTGAGCCCAAGTCCTGCCGCCAAGTCCCAGCTAAGCCACAAGGGACTCCCGAGGCGATGCGCATGGGCAAAGTGCGTCAGCTGTCGAAGGGTGCACTTGTCTGTGACAAACTCCCTCGTGTCGAGGAGAAAAGGGGTGGACAGCAGCGACCGTCCCTGGCCCAGCGAGCTCATCCCTGCGAAGCAAAGCACAGTTGCGGTACGCAAAAGACAAAAACAAACAAATTTTTTTTTTAAAAAAAAGAAGGGGGTGAGAGAGACACAGACAGGCGGAAAAAAAAAGAGGGAAGAAACGTAATGAGTGGGTCAAAAAAGAAGAGGAAGCAATAAAATAGGGCAAGCTGCGCCCTTGTCAAGAACGGGGTCGCAGAGGGTCCAGTTTCATGGCTGGGGCATGAGAAAAATCACAATCAAAAAAAAAAGACATAAAATAAAATAAACGCCTCTCTGGGCTTCAGGAAAAAAGGATGGAAGTTAGTAGAGAACGGGCGGTTGCATAAATGGAGAACAATACATCGATTTTTTGTGTACTTGATTCGGAGTCCCTACCACCGTTGAGGGGCACCGCGTCCATGTGAAACAAAAACCGTGTCTTCACGCGCTTCCCCAGTACCCCTGTGCGGCGACTCTCCTCAAGTTGCCGCGCCACGTAGCTGCTCCGCATGTCCACAGAGGTGCACCCATGCACCACCTTGTAAAACCGCAGGACAGAGTCACTGTAGAGAAAAACACCAGGAAGCGTGACACACCCACCCCGGTGAAGCGACGCATTGCCGTCGCTTAAAAAAGGAAGCACGTCTTCTTCCTGCAGGTCGTCTGTGTTGCACAAGCGTGTCTCATCGGTGGAGTCTTCGCCAAAGGACTGTTTTGAGAAGAGCAGCTTGGTGGGAAGGACAACATCCCCACACTTCCCCACCAGTCCAGACACATTCCCGGCAAGATTCACGCTGCGGATGCGATTGCCAAAAATAAGCACAAGGCTTCGCAAAATACTTTCAACCTGCGCACCAAACGTCCGATCAATGTTAATAATGAAACCATTTTCTTGCATGCTATTCCGCTTTGACGCGACGAGCCGTAGTGTGGCATCTATGCCCGAGGCCCGCAATTTACTGATGTTGATGAGGTCGACAACAAGCCCTGACATGTAGGAATCCTCCATCATGATGAAGCCCGACTCCTCCAGGTGTTGACGGTACTGCTCCCGCACGGAGGCCTCCTCCTCCAAAACTTGCGCCAGCACGTAAAGGTAGCGGTCATCCGCGTTCTTCAACGCGGCGGCCTCCGACGGGGGAACCACGTACTTCTCCAGCAACCGCCTAAACTCCTCCGTGGTGGGGCACAAAAGGCTCTTAATGGTGATGTTGGAGGAGAACATGACATCAATCGTCAAATCCGACGGAAAGACGTCCTCGCCGCTGATGCCCAGCTCCTCCCGGATGTGTCGGCTGATGCAGAGACTCCATCGTTGGTACGGATCCTGCGAGAACTTCTTCGCCAAGTTCACGTCCACGTAGACAACAAATTCCCCGCGGCGTAGCAAAATGTTGTACAAGACCTTGATAATTTCGGGTCCATCCCAGACCTGCATCAATCCATCAATTTCCGTGTCCGAAAAGGGCAATTGGCTGAGAACCGCCTTCACCACGGCATCCGACGCCGCGTCTCCGATGGCGAGTGAATCACGCAAAAAGTCAATGGCGAGCGGGGAGGCGAGTCGCTGCAAACGTAGCCGTATTTTTTTCGACTCCACAACCAACATGCACAACTCGGTGACAAACTCTATAATGTCTGTAAACCCGTCCCGCGCCATGACAAAAATTTGCCCCTTTTCACCAATTTTCCACGCAGCTCTCCGTCGCCGTGCGGACTCAAGCGACATTGTGGTTGAGAAGCCCATTCCATTGGAGAGATGGGTGGGTATGCTGCGCGAGAGCGTGATCACGAAGGTTTCCGTGATTTTCTCCGGTAGACGTTTAACGCAGTGGCGTAACGCGTCTGTATCAATTGCAGTGGAATGCATGAACCTGTGGAAGACCGTCTCACTGGACTCGTAAATACCAACAGATGTGGGCATCGACAACTTGTATCCCCCCTCGCCAAAGCTGCGGTTCCCAGACATCGACGTTGACGATAAACCAAAGAGCGCACGGCAAAAATCCTCAAATGCGGAGAAGGCGGAAAGCGTTTGCGCGATCTGGACCGAGACACTGCTGGCGAGCATAGGAGAAAGCGCGAAGAGATCACAGAACTGCCGCTTTGGGATAAGAAGCACGGCTGCCACGGAACTTGCGTGGTAGGAAAACTCCGATGGCTTTTCAAATATGACGCTATCTATGCCAAAGACGTTTGGTGCACTGATGCTCCCAACGCGGCGGTGGCCAACGATGGATGCACGACCAACCCTTGTGTTGATGACCTCAACGGTGCCGGAGACCAACACAAACACGTGCGTTAGCAGCGTTCCTTCATCAACGATAATGTCCATGGCACTGTACTCGCGCAGCATCAGGTTTAGCCTCTCAATCTGATCTTCGTTTAGCGTGTAAAGGTGCGGCACGGTGTAGAGGAAAGAGTGCATTGAGGGCCTACTGTCTTTTTGAAGCACGGAAACTTTCTGGTTGATGAGCGCCAAGAGTTCCGGCGTGTGCGTCAGTGGCTCCACCACACCAACCATGTCATCCAGGTTCGTTTGCTCGTTGGAGTCAAAAGTGGCACCTTCCCCGGATGGAGAGGGATCTAGCGGGGGAGTCGAGTCGCGAGGAAGCTCCTCGGACACCGCTGTGAGCCTGCTCATTTGGAAACTCTGGCAAAATAAATTCTTTTTTTTTTTCCTTACTTTCTTCCTTTTTCTTCGGTTTAGCGTACTGGGTGGGCGCACCACATATCCTCAGCGAGGTTTCCCCGTCGCAGCCAAGCAAACGAAAAAAAAAAAAGAAAAAAAAGGACAATATCAATGATGACCTGCCCGACGGCCACCACTGCGAACACGTGTGTGAGTCTGCGGAGGAAAAACCAAAGAAAAAAGGCCGTTGAATTGTGTGTGTGGGTGTGTTTTGCATGGTGAGACTCCGCATGGGATTCAAGGCGCCACCCCGCACGCTCTCACCGGGCACCGCCGCATCGCACACATTTTTCTTGTGACTGTTTCGGGGTGGTTTGTATATTTCGATAGTTTCATTCGTTGCGGCCCGCCCTCGACGCGCAGGCAAACTTTTGGCTTCTCCGCCGCTTCTCACACGAAAGACAGGGGCACCCCTTGGAGCCGCCGCAGATGAGCGGCTGGGCCTCGCTCGGCGGCGCCCAGGGCTCGGCCAGTGGCTTATCAATCAACTCCGGAATTCCCGGGCGCTTTCCGACCGACCGCCAGCAGACCCGTTGCCGTGCAACGCCGCGATCGCGCCGCGTTTCTGTAGGAACCAGTGCTCGCTCCTTGCCTGCCCGTTGAGTCTGTGACGCGGCGCCGGCAGTCGTAAATCCAACAACTTCGCCGCGCCCCCTCGTCCTTTGATCTGCTGAGTTGTGCCGAACGCAGTCACAGCGCATCACTTTTGTCTTCCTTCAAAAGCCAGCGTGACGGGTAAAACGAGGCAGCCCTGCACACCCGCACCACCTTCCCTCTGGGCCTCCACCCACGCACCCAAGAGCCTGTGGTGGGAGTCAGGGCGGCAAACAGGCAACCGCCGCTGGAGCGAGTGGGCCATCAAAAGCGGCGGTCATCCACCGTGTCCGTCCTTCTCCCTCTCCCTCTCCTGCAACACCAATAAGCAAGGGAGAATTGACAGACACCCATCCCAGTGAGATTCCAACGCATTTCCTCACATTGCCTTTGTCATTTTCATTCCTTTTTTTTTTCCTGTTTGTTTGTTTTTTTTGCTTTTCCCTCTCGCCCTGCACGCACGTTGTCTAGAGCATGGGTGTTTCACTCTTCCTTTTCCTTCTTGTTGCATTGCAATTGCTTATATAATTGTATATCTTCTCGCTGCGCAACGCCGTTGCTTCTTTTATTGCCTTTGCAGGAGCCTGTGGCCGCCCTCACGGACTCACGCGTGTCCCCTCCCGCGTCTCCGCTTTCTCGCGGTCGACCACACCGCCTCGTCGTGCGGCGCCGAGTGGGGGACTTTGCCGAGGTTCAAGCTCAAGCTCAGCTCCCCGTCCTCGAGAGCCTTCAGCAACGGCCGCGACAAATGCAGACGTGCCGATGAAAAGAGAACGGCGGAAAAGAGACCGTCCGACGCCGACCCGTTAAGTTTGGCGCTTCTCAACGCATGCGTGTTTGGGGGCGGGACAGCCGTGTGAGGGCACGTGAGCTGCGCAATCCTCCACACCACGTCGGAGCCCACCGGCGGGGGCGGCGCGACGGAGTCGAAGAAATACCCCTCATCCACCTCGCCCCCGCCCTCGCGCTCCCCACACGCGGCTGTCGGCTCCGCAGCAACCGGCTCACCCCGTATGATCTCCTCCATCCTCCGTCGCACGGCAACCGTCGTGGGCCTCTTCGGAGCCTTCGACTGCCGCAGCAAAGTCGCCAGCTCCCCAAGAAGCGGCTCCTCCCCGTGAAGTGTTAGCAGCGTCGGCAAGTAGTAAAGAACAAAGCGGCGTAGCCATCCTCGCAGCCCTTGCGGCGACAAGGCAAAGGTGCCAACGAGATGCGAAAGAAGCACCGCAACAGCCAACCGCACAAATGATGAGGCTAGCGCAGCACCACGCTTTCCCCACGCATCTAAGATGGTGTGCAACGCCTCTAGAACTTCGTCGTGTTTCAGTTGACACTTGAACATAAAGGCAACCGTCGCCTGCTCCATGGATGTCAGCATTCGGAACTCGTCCAGTGAAAGCAAAGAGAGCGCGTGGACGGGCACAGGCTTCAAGGCAAGAACACGGTCGTCGTAGAGCGAGAGTCGTCCACCGGCAAAGCGGGTGAGAGCCCCACTCACGAAGCGACGACGCTCTTGCGCGTTGACCGAAGTGAGGAGTGGAAATGCGGTTTCCAGCTGGTGAAGTGTGAGCTGCGCGGTGGAATCCCTCGCGTAATAAGTAAAGATCCATGCGACCAGTTTTCTGCAAAACAACTCCATGGCATCCACGCCGCTTCCAGAGCCACTCTCTTCGTCTGAACTCATCTGTGCACGAAACGACCAAGACTCGTGCACTTGGACGACATTCTTCGTGTAGGCGCCGTCCGTGCCTTGGACGAGTTTCACCAATCCGAGCAAACACGGTTGCCCCTCCGCTGCGGCAAAGTAGGTAACAGTGCCCTTCCCGTGCACGACACGAAGCAGCGTGTCACTGAGGCCACGCTGGAGCGAATCTCCCACGACTGGGAAACAAGTTGCTGGCGCTCGTGTCGGATCCGTCGACGACCAACGCAAGCAATGATGCTTCGCGTCCATCGTTGTTTTCCCAAAGCCGTGGGAAATTCCACCGAAACGCACCCCGTTATGCCGCACTGGGTAGCCACACTGCACACTGTCCTGGACAAGCAGTGCGGTGATGTCGGCGGGTCCGACGTGTGTCGTCGCCTGCGCTACCGTTGCCCCCGTCAGCATCACCGCTGCACCTCACCCGTGCGGCACTTGCCACGCGCATAACATGCGTGAGCGACAACGTCGTGCATCCCGCGAAAACAGGGACAAGAGAAAAACAACAAACAAAGTACGATTTCGTGCATGCAAGTAAATATGTACACAGAAAGAGAGAGTGAGAGAGAGAGAGCGAGCGAGGGAGAAGGAAAGAAAGAAGGGAAAGGGAAGGGAAACGGAAGGGAAGGGGGGAAAGGGCAGAATAAAAAACAACAACAACATCCAAGAGAAAGGTTGCCCTGTGTTCACGTTAAATTACACGAGACTGCAGGGAAAGAGTAGAAGGAGGGCAAAAAGAAATATATACAATAAATTGCTAAAGTTACGGTACCCCACATCTCACCTCCTCCCGGTGGGAAACGGGAGTTTCCCACTCTCCCTAGGCAAGGAATTTGCACCGGTACGCGCTACAGTCAAGCACTCTACATTAACGCGTCAAGCTCAAAGCGCAACAACAATGAATGTATGATGATGATGATGGTGGTAAGTCACTCAGCGAAATCCAAGCTCTGTGGCAACATTGCCCTTCTTGAGTGACATTAAATAATTCAGTCGCACCTTTTGCGACTCGGCCCGTGCGTCGGAGCGAAAGAAGGGAGCAAAACGTGGGGAATCGCGGAAGAGGCGGTAGAGTGCAACATAGTCGTCCTCGTCCAGTGTTCCGCGGTGATACAGACCGGGTGCGAAAACAAACAAGTCACCAACTTTGGCATGAATGCGAATCCACTTGTCTTGCTTGGAGCGTACATCAAAGTAGCAGGATCCGTCAATCACGATGCGGATCTGCTCGTCTTCGTTGTAGTGTTCCTGGAACCAACGCTCCAGAAACGTATCATCTTTACATGTCTGTGAAATATGCACCTCATCCGTATGCTTATAAAGGCGTTCCTTCACCAACTGCTTCACAATGGAAAAGTCATTCAAGTTTATATTGAAGTAAACAACGCCAAGCTCCTTTAGTTGCTGCAGCGACACGAGCGGGGTGTCACGCTTCCTTCCCTTCTTCAGGCTCGCGATGCGAAGCGCCGGCTTTGAAGTTTCGTCGTCCAGGTACCATGCCTGTACCAGACCGTCGCTGACGATGGAGGGCGGCACGGGGGGAAGGTTCTGTATGGTATCTGTCCCAAGCCTGCGCCACTCCTCCTCCTGCTTGATGCGTCGCTTCTCCTCCTCAAGAAGACGTTCAGCCTCCTCACGCCTCTTACGCTCCGCTTCCTCCCTCTCCCGGGCCGCGCGTCGCTCACGCTCCTCCTTCTCCAGCTGGCGTTTCCTGTCACGCTCACGTATCTCCTGCTCCTCTTGGAGCCGCTGGGCCTCAGTCATGGGATTTAGGGCGTCCATCGTTGGCCGCTTCTTTTTTTTCCCCACCCCTCTTTCTTTGGCGTGCACGTCCCTAGGCGTAAGCTCTCCCTCACCGCTCAGGGCAATGGCAGAGCGAGGCGGGGGAGGTTTAGCAAGAGCCGTCGCCGCGGCGTGAAGAAAGCAAAGCGTGTGAAGAAGCACGATGGAGCACCGTGACACAGTTGGAAGCAAGAAGAAAAGGAAAATGCCGTCCCACGAGCCTCCCTTTTCCTTTTGGCCCATTCGCAAAGAAAAGTAAATAAATAAAAAAACCAAGTAACACACACTGTGATGGAAACAATTATCGGCGCTTGTTTTTTTTTTTTTCATCACGCCCACCCACACGCACAGCTGTTCCACACCGTGGACGGATACTGCCCTCTTTTCGCTCCTACGTGGCGGCGGCTGGGCCTACAGCAACTGCAGGCGGCCGTACGGCGCCGCCCTCCTGCGGCGTCGCTCATACTCGCGAGAGACGAGGAAGCACGGCAGGGCCGCGTCCCGCTGGCCGAAGAGAGCAACCGAGAGACGAAAGAAGTCGGAGGTGTAGGCGCTGCCGTACCACCGCAACACCTTCGCCAGCACACGCTCCTTCATCTCAGGCACCGACGACGCAAGACGCGCAGCTGCCTCCTCCACCGAAATCTGCGCGTATCGCCACCGCGCCCGAGTCATTGCCTCGCGTAGCTCGAGCGGTTCACAGCCCAAAAGGCGCAGGACAATTTCTCTGCCTTCTGCGGAAGCAAAGTAGGCCCTGTCACTAAGCAGCACGGCGTAGATGTGACGCAGCATACGGGCGTCTCCGCTGATCTGGAGCTCGCGGTGCCGCAAAAGCGACTTACGGATAGCCTCCTCCGTCGGCCACGGAATAGTGCGGCCGCGATTCAGCCGACACGAACACTCGAGAACAAGTTCCGCCTCCGGGGCAGCAATGCCCCGCGTAAGTGGTTCTATTTCGGACAAAGTGGCATCGTCAAGGAGACCATTGTACTCGTACCTCTCACGTTTTAGTTTACGGTACCTCTCAGCAACCTGAAAGACCGTTCGACGGCGACCAAGTTGCTGCAGAATTTCTGCCACGAGTTGGCCCCACCGACCGCTTCCGGGGTCGTAGGCGTCAATGCAACTGTCCTCCGCCGACGAGAAGGGCTCCGGCGATGCCGTCACCTCCTGCTGATAATGCAGAAAACATTGAAAGCTGTCCACGCACAAAGTGGACTTTGACTCGAAGTTGACGGCATCCGCAACGACCCGCCAATGCGTAGGGTCTCCCTCTCCCCCTGCGTCTAAGCCCAAGCGCTCCACCTGTCGCTTCATCGACCTCGTCGCGCGATGGTTCCAGCGAAACTTGGGCGACAAGCCCTGGGAATACGGTGGTGGCTGCGTGCGGAGCGCCGATGCACACACCTGGGAACCGCAGCGAAACCTAAACCATGTGTCTAAGTCAGACCCAAGCGGTTCGTTGCTGTTCGCCTGCCTCCTTTTAACCTCCCTCGGCCTTAGCGCGAGAAGCAGGGTATCTGTGAGCACAAGCTGCTCCTCAATCCTCTCAAGTAGGGAGCGGACATGTGACTGAAGCCGACGGTTTTCGCGCAGTAGTCTGTCAAGCGCCTCGTCTGTGAGAGGCGTCATGTGCGGTTCATCCGCTCGTGCCCGCCTGTTGCTAGAGCCTCACACACAGACAGAGGCGGAGTGCAAAGCTGCAGAAGCTGAGGAACAAGAAAGGGACTGGATTAAGAAGGGGGTATAAAAAAAAACAAATGGGAAAAGGGACAGAGAGGCTGAAAGGGAGAGAAGTCACAGACCGACTCGACAGGGGGGGGGGAAAAAAAGAAGAAGCATGGGACATATAAAAAGCAGGGGCCGAGAGTTAGAGTATAAAACGTGCCAACAAACAGGCGTGACGCCCAATATACATCAACAGGCGCGTAGAAACGAATTAGGAAACGAATTAGTAATATATCTATATACACCCTACTACGGTGGGTTGGGACGCAGACCAACGAATATTCAAACCGCGTTACAGGAAAGCAAAAAGAAAAATAAATCGGCCTCATTTCATGAAAAAGCTGCTTCGAGGATTCAAGTGGAAGACGGGCGGCCAGAGCAAATGGATCCGCCGCTCAGGGTAGAGTTCCATCTGTCGGCAAAAACATCCTGCCGTCATCGTCGACGCCGCAGCCTACACCTTCACAGTGGCACGAACTAGTTTTCCATTTGCACACGAAACAATCGCCTGATAAAGAAAGTGCTCAGAAAGCTGCAAATTCATAATCGTCAGGGGCAATTCACAGGAAGCCAAAAGCTTTCCTGTGGAATAGGAAATGACAAAGACTTTATGTGGTTTTGCTGTCACTGTCCAAAGAAGATCCGTCTTTGGGCAATACCGTGAGAGGAGGGTAAGTGTGCCTTCCACCTCGGCGGAGAGCCGAGCGGAGACCTCCTCCAACTCGGCCCCCGAGACGCAGTCAAAGACCTGTATCTGTTGCACCGGCCTCTTCGATGTCACAACGATGCAGCTCGTATTGGGGAGAGGCTCGATACCGTCGGCGCCGACTTGCGTGCCCACAATCTGCTTCCTGGACTCCATGCTACGCATATCCCAGATCTGAATCGGGCTTCCCCACCCGCCACTAACAGCCATTGTGGGGGAGGTAAAGCGGACTGAAAAAATACGGTTTGTATGTGTCGCACGCGAGTAGCCGTCATCGCCAAATCCTTTGCACAAGTTACCTTTCAAGTTGCCGTCAGCGTCGTAGTAGCGCACGATGCGATCACTGCCCGCCGTGAGAAACTCATCTGTCTCCAAACAGGCCTCTAGGCAGGTGATTTCGTTGTCTTCCTCATCCATCTTTGCGATGCGATCAAGCTTATACCCGTCCCACGTCCAAAGAAAGATGCCCCCCGCGCTTGACACGGAGACCAAGTTGTAGCGATCGACGCTCTTCTGCGAGAGCCACCGAACGCCTGTGCTGGGCAAGTCATCGTACGGCTTGCCCATCGCGGTATGCTGCTGAACGTGCAGAGTGTTGGAGTCCAAGATGACCAGTGCGCCATTGCCGAGCACGGCGGCCAGGAACTTCCCGTCAGGGGAGAAGGAAGTCGTGTAGACGTGCTCCGCCTGTTCCGAAACCTCGACGAGGCTGCCGAACATGCCTTCCCCCTCCAGCCGTGTAGCAAACTCCATTTCCTAATTACCGCTGAGGTAAACCACTCACTGGGGGGGGGGGGGCAAACAAACGCAGCGTGGCGGGCGGCGGGTGGAGAGAAGCGAGAGAGAGAGAGAGAGAACGGGGAAAAAAAATAACAAATACTAAACAATTAATAACAGCAAAACAAGTCCGCATCCATCCGCACACAAGTAACGCGCAAAGAGACAAGGCGCAACAACGCCAATACCACCAGAACACACGAAAGAAAGTCAAGCAACAAGGAAAAGAGAGACAACAACAACAACAACAGCAACAACAACACACAAACACAACGAGATAAACACAAACACAACGAGATAAAGAAAAAGGGGGGGAGGGAGGGGTGTATTTCACTCATATGGCGTCCATGTTTTTCAGTTGTTGTCGTTTTTTTTTTCTTTTCTTTTTTTCATTCTCGTAGTTGTTCTTTCCCCCTCCTTCGCCCCTACAATGCATAGACAATTGACTTCCGTCCTAGAGCAAAGAAGACCGTCAGCACAACCATAACTCCCGAGTACGCGATCGTCTCGGTGGTCTCTATTGCCTTGTCAGCAAAGGTCCGAAATATACAGGCCACCGCCACACAAATTATGGCGAGCGACAGGAACGCGTGCAGCACGCCAACCACCCAGTAGAGGGCCACAATTAGCACCCAACGCCAGTTCGACCGAATTAGACGCCGGCAGGCAAAGAGACCTAAAAGAACATAAATAATAGAAGTCATGCAGCAACACAAGAATATCAAACCTCCCCACGTCGAGGCCACATTGGTGGGGGAAATCCCGTTGTCGCCTAGCCCAAGCATTGCAACTTTGCCTAAAAGAGAGAGGAAAAGGAGTAGCAGGCAGCACAGAAGCAGCTTCAACTGAGACGCATATGCATGAGGAGAAACACAAAATCAGAGCGGGTGAAGAAGAAAAAAAACACACACACACAAAATGTGCTTCACAGACCGCGCTACCGAGTCCGCAGGACGCACAATTCCTATAGGATGTAAAGAACTGATGCAATTTTAGAAGAAATACATCAATGTAACTGCATTGCTATTCACTTTGCTTCTTTTTTTTTTTTTACTTTCCCATTTATTGTCGTGTTTTTTTTGAGTGTTTTTTTTTTGGTTTTTCTTCTGCGGGCATGCGTTTTATATTCTTTTCTCTGGAACTGAATGTTTGTGTGTTAAGGCGGGAGTACGGAGAACCTTTTATTTTTTCTTTTTCTTTTTCCCCCCTTTTTTCTTCGCCTTAAGCGTAACGGACCACCGACAACACCTGTCCGTTAGGAAAAATTGTACCGTTAAGTTGTTGGGCAATAGTTCCATGCAACCCGCGGTCCGCCATCCTCACAGCTGCTCCGGCATCACTTAACATGTCCTTGGCCGCCACCTTTCCATAGCACTGCAGCAGTGACACCAGGGTGGACTCCGTCAATGCGACTCCAGAGAAGTGTAAATCACCACTAGCAGGGAAGACGTCCGGGTTGGGTTCGAAAACTCCGGGCGGGGGCGTGTACACCGGCACCGCAGAGGATGTAACCATCGGAGAGTACATTATGTGCGGTGATGCCGCCGGCGGGCTTAGCGCAGGCTGCGGATAGAACAAAGGGAATGGAGTCGCTATTCCAAGCATGGGGTACGCAGACATTGGTGGAACTACGGGGAGCTGCGGAGGAAACGCTTGGTATGGCAGTTGCGGCTGTCTATATTTAGGTGAGTGTTTCTGCCTTTTTTTGTTGCGTTCCTGTCGTTGCTGCCTAACCTCAGCGGTCTCTGAATACTTTATCTCAAGCCCTGTCTCCCAGTTTTCAATGCGAATCGTCTTTCGTGCCTCAATAGCCGCCGTCGCCTCCTCAATCGATGAAAACTGCACAAACCCCGAGCCTTTGCACTGTCCAAGAGCGTTCATAAGCACGGCCGACTCTACAATGGTGCCAAAACGGGAGAAGCAATGTCGGAGATGATCTTTGGTAGCCCACTGAGGCAGCCCGCGAATAAAAATACGATCGTTGGGTATTTCGTCAACTCCCTCATCGTGCATCGCAATAGACACATGCAGCAGCATGGGACTATTCGCTGTGGGGTGCGTCAAGTGTGTTGCGTTGATCGCGGCATGCGCGGACTCTGGCCTTCGAAACATGACAAATGCAAAATGTCTTTGCTTCACAATTTTCGTGGAAATGATCTCGCCAAATTCCTGAAACTTCTTACGCAAGTCATTCTCGTCCCACGATGGTGGGACCCCGGCCACGAAAATGTTTGTGGAAACATGGGGCGTTAAAGAAGCCATGGGCGTCGTCCCGGTGCTGTTTTCATTGTCCTCAGGGGGCTCTGCCGTCACATCCACGCGCAGCGTGGGCTTGTACACTTCCGTCGGAGCCTCCCAAGGCTCTTTGGGCGGCGCACTACCCATCCCTTCCTCGTTTGAGTGAGCCACGGCCTCAAGATATCACTTCCTGCAAAAAAAAACACACAACAATGCGCTTGCGGTGTATCCGTGAAATGCATGTATGTGTGTGTGTGTGTGGAGGGATGCCAGGCAGCAGAGAAGACAACGAGGTGGCGCGTCCCACTACGTAGCAGCGCACGGAATAATAATCATAGCAACAAGCGGGAAAAGGCCTCGCTGGCATGCATACATACATATATATATATATAGCGACAACAAACAACAACAACAACAAACGCCATGGTGTATCGTGTATGAGAAGATACGCCACGGACAAAAAGCATAGGAGCGCACAATTTATAACCCCCAAGGGGGACGCCATTAACTGGTGTCGTTCCTTTTTCTTTTTCCTTTTCCTTTTTTTTATTCCTTTTTCGTTTCCGCTTTCCCTATTTCCCTCTTTTCCCCTTTTTTTTTCTGCTTTCGCTGCCTCAACTACACTAAGCATTCATGTTGCCCTCTAGAATTTTTTTCGCCCCCTCGTCGCCAATGTTCACAAGAAGTTGCAGCAGCCACTTTTTAATATTAGGGCTGCCTTCGAGGGCCTGCTTGTACGTGTCGTTGCGGAGCACCTCCGGCAGGCACTGGGAAAGTGCGTCGCGGGCACGCGGATTCTCGGAAAGGCGCAGGTAGCAGCGGATAATGTACCGCAGGAGGCGCGCCGTGCAGTCCTTCGACCCCACCATGTTCTGCAGGACCGTTGCGACGGCCCTAAACCGTTCCGGTGTCTGGCAGACGTACTGCAGGCCAAGGTCCGAGAGCAGGAGCTTCTGCACAATGAAGGTGGCGAGCGTCCGTGAGAGCTCGGGGCTGTACTCCATGATCTTGAGACAGAGCGGGAAGATCTCAGTGCTAAGCAGATAGTGCATCACGTCGTTGTCGTCCGCCTTGACCAGGGCGCCAATCACGCCAAGTGAAGTCAGGCGAAGGCCCTCCGTCACGTTGCCCGTGCCAGCGGTCGTCCCACGAAGGAAGGGGTAGAGAAAGAGGCAGAAGTGGGCGTCCAGAAACAACTTGCGGGTCGAATCATCGTAGGCAACGCTCTGAAGAAGCGTGAGGACGCTGCCCACACGGCTAGTCGTCGACTTCGAAAGCAGCTCCGGGGTGTGGAGGAGTGGATAGACAGAGATGACCTCATGCAGCAGGATCGCCATGGTGCCCACGCTGTACCACAAGAAGGGTCCGAGTTGCTGAAACTTTTCGCGGTGCTTGGCCAGCTCATAAATGGCCTTCTCACGCAACTCTGGCTTTAAGAGGCTTTTAAGGAGGTTGAGCATATTTCTCGTCTCTGGGGACACGGGGGTCACTGCGGGGTACGGCTTCACCGTCGGCTGCTGCGAGTAGATGGCGTACTGCACGTACTGCGGTCCCTGTTGCATTGCTGGGGAGGGGTGGAACTAGACGAACAACCTGGCGGAGGGCAGAGTCGTGGGGGAGAAGCAAAAGAAGAACATTCACGCCCCCCCCACACACACACACAGGCATAAGTATAACAATAATAGTAATAACAGTAACAATAATAATAATAATAATAATAATAAAAAGAAAAGAAGGAGATAAACACACTGCAGACGACAGTCTTCAGTCCCGTTCTCCTCCTACCCACGCCACACATTCAACTCAACGCCAGTTGGCAAGGGCTTCGCATCGCCCTACAAGTCAAAGAAACAACACCACCACCACCACCACCACCACCAGCAGCAGCAGCGGGGAGAACACGAGAGCAATCGCAGCACACAACAAGCAATAGACAAAAACAAAATACAAAAAGAAAAACAGTCGATAAACAACTGTTGGCGCCAGGAGTGGGCAGAAAGGGCAAGGAGGAAAGAGACAAAATCAAA